CTTTGTATTTTCGCTCTACCACTAAGTCTAAAATGTAAACTCTGTGGCTCTTACCCACCCCAGGGCCTAAGTTAGAGGCTAGCAGGCTGTAGTCAATAGGCCCAGTACTGGACTTCTGTGGTTCAAATCTTTCCTAGAGGGCTGGGGTTGTGGCTCAGAGGTAGAGCACTCACCTAGCATGTGTGAGCCACTGGGTTCAATCCTCAGCACCACATAAAATACTGTGTCCATCTATAACTAAAAAATTAACATTAAAAAATTATTTCCTAGGGCAATGATCCTGAATTCCTTCTTGATCCTCACAATTTCTGACACTTCCAAGTATTCACTTAATAGTGTCTCCAATAGTTTAAAAAACTAAAATAAGTTGAAAAAGAGAACTCACATAAGCCACATTATCTGTATTACATCAGTTACATTTTAATATTTTAAACATAACTATCAAAAAGGATTTTTTTTAACGTGCAACATAAATCATCTTGTATCCCAAGGATGGCATGTGTCCTGACTCTAAGAAATCGTCTACTAGACCTTCCAATTGTTCTCACATTCCCTCCCAGGGTTCTTTTCCAGGTGTAACTGATTCCATTACATTCTTCCCTCTAATTAACTGCAAACACCTCAGCATGGCATCAGAATCCTTCACATGCTGGTTCCCAGCCTATCTTTACAGTCTGGGAAGGTTAGGATGACCTTTCTAGGGACACTAGTTACCATCTCAGTAACATTAAGTCATTTAAATTTGATTTTCTCATCTGTAGAAGAAGGATGGTAAAAATGCCTTGCAGGATTCCTGCCAAGGCGAACTGAGACAGCAGATGTAGAAAAACTCCCCCCACAATGTTCCCCATCCGATCCTCTGGTTGGTGCCTCGCAGCTTTGACAGGGTACGCGCGAAGAGGGCAATGCCCTGCGAGCCGTTTATTCTCTCGCGGCACGAGAACGACGGAGGCAGGAAGGGGCCTACACCGGTGAAGTCTCATAAATGTTTCCATTATCCGGTCTTAGTAAAAATTCACTGCGACCCCATCGGGGGAAGTCATTACCCTCCTCTTACAAGTGAAGAAGAGAGGCTCTGTGATGACGCGAACCACCCAAGCCTGGCGGCTGGAAGTGGCGGGACCGCACTGCTCACCCCGCGCGCGCCAGGCCCCGGATCCCCGCCGCACCTGGCGGACCCCGTTGACCTCGGAAGTGCTTCCCCTGGAGTCTCACCTGGCCTTTGGGACGAGAGGCCTCGGCGGCTAGCGCTGGGTCCGGTATTGCCCAGGACAGCCCCAAACTCCGGTGCCGTTTAGCTCGGCCGCAGGTGGTCTCCCGCCGCCTTCCAAAGCCCGCGCTCCCGTCACGTGACCTGCCCGGAGCGCACAGCCTTCTGGGAAGCGTCGTGCAGGCCCCGCCCCCTCAGGCCGCCGCTGCCACAGCGCCCGGTCCTGTCGCAGAGAACCGGCTCTGTCAGAGATCCTGCCCTACCCTTCTCTGCCACCCGTCCCCGCTCCACCTACTCCGGGCCCCCACAGGCCCAGCTCACCCAACACCCGAACCCGCAGGACTACAAGTCCCACAATGCCACGTGCACGGGGACACCGCCTCTTCCGGCCGAGCCGGGCGCCTGCGCCTGCCGACGTGTTCTTCCGGTGGCAGAGCGGCGGATTACCGTGTGCCGGGCAAAATGGTGAGAGGGTCGAGGGGAGTTGGCTGGGCGCCCGACCACACTCCGTTCTCTCGCGGAGACCCGACGCCCGAGACCCGGAGGGTGGGACGTGCCGGAGCCCCCGGCCTGAACTGGGGCGGGAAAAGGAAGCCTCGCCGCGGACTCCTTAGCGAGGTGGAGGTCTCACTGGGCTTCGGACCTCGCTGTTTGGAAGGGCGAGGGGCGTGGAACGCACTTGGACTAGCGTGGAGCTTGTGGCTCTGTTGTCTCTGTCTGGAAAGTTCTTCCGCCTGCCAAACTCATACTCATCCTACAATATCCTAAGCAAACGTAATTTCTTGGCGAAACACTTGGGACTCTCTCGGGCTCTTGGCCTCTGTCCCCTGGGAACGCCCACAGCCTGTATACAGACCTCTTGGCCACTTTTCGTGGACCTCTTTGTTATCTGCCACGCCTCTTAGTGACCACCATCTGACGTGCATCTAGCTCTGGGATGATATCTATTCATCTTTGTATTTCTAGTGCCAAACACAAGGCCTTCAATTGGAGGCTCAATAAATGGCAGCGATTGTCTTTCTCGCTTTGGGGGGGGGTAGAGCAGAGGGGGACATAATTGTTTTACTGAATTGAATTCCAGTGTCTCTTAGAACAATGGGATCATTTTACTTCTCTAGAGTTGTTGTGTTCTGGATTTTAGAAGCATTGGCTGGTGGGGAACAATGGAAGTTAACATTTGTACTTTTACAGCCCTCTTTCACAGGCATTATCTCATAATGGACCCTGCAACCTTTGGAAGGAACTGAGCAGCCCCTTATGCCAGGCATTAAACTGGATGCTTCAACATTCAGATCTTAAATTATAAATCAAGCATGTGAAATAATTATTATAACCACGCAGACTCAGACTATTTAGGTGCTGGTAGGTCCAGAGATTCCATGATAGTGTTGTGAGAATAGTGCTGAATTAGAAGTTGAGATCTGGGTCCCAGTCTAAGTCCTGACTTACCATGGGGCTCTGTAGCTTGAAGTCAGTAGACAGGTTTTTCCTAGGTAGTCTACATACATCTCATTCCATTTTCATAGTGGTCATTGGCTAAGGACTGTTGATCTGTTCCTAATCTCCTTTTGCCTCTTGCCCTCTGACTCCTAGCTGCTCTTCAGGACTCATACTGAAAAGAGAACATGCCACCTGTTTTAAGATGTAGTCATAATTGTATTTCCCATAATGAATCACTTGATACTGGCTCTGAAGGATTTCCACATTTCCAAAGTTGGAATGGGCCTCTAGGAGTCACAGCAGCACAAGGCTGTTTCATCATCTCCCCAGGGAGAAATCATGGGATTCTTTAATAACTCTGATCTCATGTCTACCCTAGGAGCTCGAGGCCATGAGCAGATACACCAGCCCAGTAAATCCAGCTGTCTTCCCCCATCTGACTGTGGTGCTTCTGGCTATTGGCATGTTCTTCACCGCCTGGTTCTTCGTGTATCCTTTGACCAAACAGCCATTGGGCCAGAATAGGTGGTGTGAGAAACTGAGGAAGAAAACATCCTAGGTAACTGTATCTGCTAATTTTGTGTATAGAGGTTGGAAATGGACAAAGGTTGGTGATGCCCAAGGGCAGATTGTGGCCTTATTTTCCAAATTCTGGTGAGCTGGGGTTCTTCAGATTTCTAGGTCAGTGAGCTGAGGATCTGGCTGGAGTGGATGCTGGAGATAGGGGAACTGAGGCTGGAAAAGTAGTGTAAGGAGGGGTGTGCTCGGGTGGCAGTAGGGGTGAGGGAGCTGTGTGACTGCGACAAGTAACCTAACCCCTGTAGGTATTATTTCCTCATGGGTGATGGAAGGCTGGTATGGAGTAACAGAGTCCAAGTTATCTCTTGGGCTCCATTTCCTAGCTGCACCATGCCAGAAAGCCCTTAGCCCATATCTTTCTGCCCAGAGTGATGCTGGGCAATTCGCTGCACCCCACAACCCATCACCGCTTCTCCTTAACAGCCCTGCCCAGTTACGAGGTTACCTCCACCAAGTACACACGGGATATCTACAAAGAGCTCCTCATCTCCTTGGTGGCCTCACTCTTTATGGGCTATGGAGTCCTCTTCCTCCTTCTCTGGGTCGGCATCTACGTGTGAGCTCCCAAGGGTAAGAGCTGTGACAAGGTGGGACACTCAAGTCTCTGAGACACAACCTGGAAAAACTTCCTACAGCCACATCAGTGGGTCCTCAGGCTCTTGCTGCAAGACCCTGTGGTTCATGGAGACAGATGTGCTAGGATGGATAGGGACCTGGGCACACATGCCTCTTTCTCTGCTACTCATGGGAATTTGAGCCCAGTGTGACCTACTTTGATCTGAGTTCTCCACGATACCCTAGGCCTTGACTTGTCTTTGGGTTTTATTAGATAGAGGCATGCAAAGTCTTCCTACGGTTTTACATTTGCATTACTTTATTATATTACTATAATGACTTGGAGAGGATCTAAGACTTAAAACTTGCTGCAGATAACCCACCAAACAAGTTGCTGAGAATTGGCTCTGGTGTCCCATCCTCCAAGGGGTAGAGTGCTTATCAGATCTTGATTAGGGCCATAGGATGGGATTTTAGGGACAGGAGGTGGGAAGAAGTGTCATTGTCTGGTTTTGACTGCCCTTTCCTCTTTCAGGTACCCGCCAGGTGGATTCACTAAATCCCTGCTTTTGTAAATTAATTTTTTTACTGTTGCTAGAAGTGTCCCACCTACTGCTCAAATAAAGGCAGATGTGTGACAGTCCTGTCTTGTGCCCGTTCTGTAGCGGTAGGGGTGGTGCTGGGGCCTGCATTATGTCACCAATCCTACCCTTTCCCAGCTCTCATCTGCCTTTCACATGGTTCCTGCTGTTGGGAACCTGCTTCCTACCCATGGGGGTGAAGGCTGTGTGGCAGGGGTGAATTGTCATTGAAATTAAGGCTTGCTTGTGGATAGGAAGGGTCCAGGCCTACCTTCTTCTGTCATTTCTAGTACAAGCCAGTTGATTCTGCCCTCTGCCCTAGGCCAATCCCTTCCTCTAAACATAGCCCCCCTTCTCTGGGCTGGAATGCTTTTGCCAGGCTCTGCTTGTTCCCCGGAGACTTCCCTAACTGGCCAGAAAGACAGTGGCTGGAGATACAGCCAGGGGAAAGGCCACTGAGTCATCTCAGCCCTAGCGCAAAGCCAGTGATGAGTACAAAACATTTATCTGGCCATTGGGGCATGGAGGCCCAAAGATTCCAGGCTTCTCAGGAAAAACTTTGAGTTCAACTGGCCTTAAACCCCCACGAAAACCTTTCCTACCACAACGACCTCAAGAAGAGACAGGAGGCAAGCTCAGATACAAAGCGGTATTTATACATTTATTTATATATGTATATTTGGAAGAAAGGACAGTTTGGAGGACAAGAAGCAAGCAGGCCTAGGGTGGCTTCCCTCTGCCTACCTCAGTCAGTGGGTATATGATAAATATAAGTCAGAGCCCAGGGATAGGACTCGGAGTTAACTGGGGAGGGGACGCTCTATGCACATGCAGGCTGCTAAGGGGCAATGGTGTGGGCAGGGGTTCTGTGCTGGGAGGCCATATGTACAGCTTGAAGCTAGAGGGGAATAGCCCAGTGGCTACAGGAACAAATACCAGAGAGGAGAGAGGAAGGGAGAGATGGGCCTGCTGGAGCCTGGGGAGGGCCAGCCAGCCTCTGGCAGGTGGCCCACTCACCTTCCTTGGAGCCCTTTTATACCTTGGGCTTAAGGTAGCTTTGGTCCAAGGTTGACCCCCTCAAGCAGCTTGGAGCCCAAGCCCCCACCCTGGCACTGAGGACTCCTTCCAGGCATGGAAACAGGGCCAGCTGCCAGTGGGACTGGGGGGCTATGCTATGTCCGACAGACTCCGGGGGCAGTGGAGGGTCACTTTCCAGTTAAGGACTGGTGCTGCAGTCCAAGAACGATCCCCCCCCCCCCCCCAAGAAGCCCCAAGGAGTGGGCTTGGCAGTTTTAAGGCACTGTAAGGAGGTGTCCCCTGTGGGAAGAGGAACCCAGTAGAACTAAGCAGGGCTTGACCCCTGGCATGGCATGGGGAGTCATATAGCTCCTATGTTGGAATCAGGGAGTAGAGCCAAACTGGGGAGGGAGTTGGAGGCAAGGTATCCTGCAATCCCTGAGTCCCCTAGTGCTTCCCTACCCTGTGGATAAGTGCTTCAGATCCATGGCAGAAGGGGGTCTGCAGTTCATTGGCTTCTAGAACTCAGTTCCCCAACAGAAAAGCCTCCTGTTCAGAGCTGAGAGGTAGGATAGGGGTAAGGCCTGGTTTCCAAAGAAGTGATGGAATTGCACAGGGCAAGGACGGCAGTTCCCTTTCCTGTTTCTGGACAATGGTAGACATGGCCAAATGACTGCCACATTCCTTTCATGAGCCTGCATGTGACCCCAGAATGCTGCAGACACCATGAAGAGAAGCTGACATCTTCCTTAACTCAAACCCACTGTATCACTCCTGGGAGAGGAAGCCAGAGATGGGGTTTGCTGAGCATGCATACCTCCATCTTGACCAAGCACAGCAAGGGCGCCTTTAATATGGGGAGAGAAAGCTACCCACAAACTGGGGGAGAAGCCAAAATTTGGTGGTTGGAAGTGGGGTGGGTGTCTCTGAGCCTCCTGGGAAGGATCAGAATCAGGACCCCTCTTTCTTTGCAAGTGTCACTCCAGGGCTCTGGCCCACTCTGAACTTTCTAGCTCCGTCCTTCCACTCCTTCCTGGCCTGGCTTAAGTGCATTTAGTAATTATTTCATTAATAACAGCCAAAGTTATTTGCATCTGCCCACCAGCCCAATGCTTGCAGGGATTCCTGCTCCTCTGCTGGGGTTGCGGGGGGGGGGGGGGGGGAGGATGGAGTCACTGACACCACGGTGTAAGTTCCTGGGATCACAGGGTGTGGGGGTTCACAGGGAACCTCCCCTTCCAGATACTCCAGGTTTATCTGGCCTGCTGGCCCCCAGTGGTTTAGACTGTGGAGGGCTGAGGGTCGCTTCCTCAGGCACTCAGTAGGTTTAAGGCACAAAATCAAGTCTCTCCAGCCCATCCAGGGCTGGCCTCAGCTGCCCAGGAAGTTCTCGGCAGCCAAGCTCTCCCAGGAAGAAATACCTCCTGGGCTACACTTAAAGCTTAGAAGTCCAAGTCCAGTGTAACAGTCATACCCCAAAAAGTCCACTACAAAGCCATCCCCCAGGGAGCAGCATCAAGGGGGAGATCCGTCTGTCCTATTGACTCCTGGGGTCCAGTCAGATCTTGAAGGGCTGGATCCAAGCCCCTGGCAGCTGTCTCCAAGAGCAGCAACTCCCTGTCTCAAAAGGGAGGGGCAGGGGAGAGGCAGGGGAGAGTGGGCTCTGGGCAAGGCAGGGCCCCTGAAGCCAGCCTCTGTATCTGAACCACATCTGGACAAATGTGAATCCTGCCACCAGGAGGTGGTAGGCAGGAACGCCCAGGAAGTCTTGTCCCCGGCTCCCTCCATGCCACGTGAGGGTGACCAGTAGGAGCAGCAGCTCCAGTGCGAAGACTTCCAGTTTCCCCAGGCTCAGGGAGGCCAGTGAATTGGCAGAGAGCTGGGAGGCAGCAGGCTCCAATGGTGGAACACCATTCGTTGCACCCAGTGTGGAAGGGGTCTAAGGACCCCAAATCCCTGGTGTGGCACTGCCCCAGGAGGCAGCTCAGTCACACAGGCGGTAGAAGTGGAAGTAGTAGTCTGTGGCTGGCTGGATGAGGGCCTCCGAGCTGCAGTTGGCCTGACCCTGGGCAGAAAGGCAATGGGAACAGGTGAGATGACCCTGGGGTGCAGGGCAGGCAGCACTCTCCCTGCCAACATGCTTGACACTGTGCCCAAGTCCTACCACATGCTCTGCAAAGCTCCCATTCCTCCCTAAGCCCCGTGCTTCATAGAGGTGTCTAGACCTCAAGGGGCAGGCGAGTGCCCATGCTCACCAGCAGTGCCACCCGGAAATGGTAGGTGAATTCACGGAAGGACAGTATGGTTACGGGCCACTGGTGAGAGGTGCCCTGGAGAGAAAGGAGAGGGATCAGGGGATGCCATCCCAACTAGCATCTCTGCACTATAGCCATGGCAGCCCCAGGATCTGGGCCAAGTTCTATGAAGGAGAAAAGTGGAGAGCTTCAAAGAGGTATGGGAGGGAACAGTCCTGCCTTGGGGAACAGTTGCAGCTACCCTCCACAGACTGCGCCAGGTGTCTCCCTGACCCCTGTTCCCCTCCTGTGCTCACTGCGTCCTCCTGGCCAAAATGCAGGGCTGCTGCTATCTCAGCTCACAGATGAGGAATCTGGGTCACTTGCCTACAAGTGGCACAGTGTTGCAGAGCTGGGGTTCAAGTCCAGGTCTGTCTGGCTGACTCTCCCAAGGTGGCATGTGATCAGCCACACGCAGCTTGCCCATCTCCCACCTGAGGCTTTGGCCTGGTCTCTGTGGTGTAGGTTGGGGCCTAAGCCCATGTCTAAAGAGTGTCTACCTGGGTGTTCTCTTTTGGGTGTTCTTGCCTCTCCGGGGCCTTCATCCACCCCTTCCTCTACCCAGGGTCCTTTCTGCATGTCCTTTCTCTCACTAGATTACATTCTTGGAAGTGGAAGCCCATCTCCTCCCCTCACTCTCACAGCTGGAGGCACAGGGCCTGAGACATAGGAGGCCCAAACAAGTATTTGCTGAGTAAACACATGAGTAGGCAAGAACTCTCCTAAATCTCTTCCCATGGCCTTGGGTCAAGGATAAACTAGAGTTCCACCAGCTACAGGTTATGCAGAGCTGAGCAGGTTGTACCCGGGTCCTCAGAGCTGGACGGTGACAGGGCCCAGCCATTCAGTTCCCAGACCAGGAAGTAGCCCTGCACCTGGAGCAGTGGGCTCTTCTAACACTGCAGGTCTGCCTGCCACTGCCCCACACTGCTCCTTCCCGCCTCTGCAGGCTCTACTCTGCCTCCCCAGAGACCCTCAGCCCTCCCTGCCATGGGCTCCCGGGACATTAAGGCTCCTGTCTCCATCATTGCATTCATCCCAGGTTAGTCCTTGTGGAACTGTTTTTGTCCCCAGGACTATTGCCACCTCAGGAATGGAGCTGCTCAGCAGGGAGTGGATTGAATAAAGACCTGCATGCATGTCCCTCTTCCTGAGGCAGAGGCCCAGGCCCTGAGGTGTCCCTATGTAGACACTTGTACTTTGACTCCAGCTTCTTTTCCTCAAGTGTTTGGGGACCACTGTCCAGAGAACAGGGTACAGCTGGCCCACAGCTTCCCAGCTGCCACCTACCTGGGTGTCCTGATGGGTAGGGAGAATCTGCGGGAGCGACCCCTCCTCACACGGCTTTTCCTTTGTCATCAGGCTGCACAGCACCACCGACACAGGGGAAGAGGAGCTGGGGAAAGGCCCAGTTAGCAGGGAATGGGGTTCCTGAGTCCGCAACTCCAGCGCCCTCCCAACCAGCCCTCCAGCCCAGAACAAGCATTGAACTTCGTGGCCTGGAAACCACACCGCCTTAGTGCTGGTACAGACCTTTCCCACCCACCAGCCGCTGAACCACAAAGCCTCCCTCCCCCATGTTTCCTAGGACCACCACCTGGAAAATGTTATGGATGCTGGAGCTGGCCTTGGCTTTGGCCACTCTGAGGTTCTGCTGGTTTCCTCTGGCTCCCCTCCCATCCCTCTGCTCCCTTCTCCAGTACTCACTTCATCTGCAGGGTCAGGCTGAGGTGGAGTGGGGTACTGCTACTGACAGGAATGTGGTAGGTGAAGTTTCCAGGCCTGAAGGGGCAAAGATGGCACCTCAGCCCACGACCACCCTGCCAAAGCCTCTGCCCTCAAACCCCAGACTACCCCAGAACCCTTCAGAAGCCTGGAAAGGGGCTTCCCCGTCTTGTAGGGAGGTTCCTCCCTGAGGGCACAAGAGCTGAGCATCTGTACAGCCTGGGGTCACCTAAGGGCCCCCTGGAGTGAAGGGAGGAGACCACCCACCTGCAGGCACCCTGTGGAGCGCAGTACTGGGAGGTGATGGACATCGAGTTCTCCAGCACCTGGATGGAGGTCAGGGAGGGCACTGGGTCTGCAAGGAGAGGGGCTGCTGGGGCAGGGAGGAAGGTGAGGCGGGATACAAAGCAATCAGGTCTTTCCTTCCCAAACAGTCACCACACCTCAGTCCTTTCCAGACCCCACAATGACCAGGATTATACCACAGCTCTTTCCCAGCAGCCCTGGGACCAGTTAGTTCCCAGAGTTCTGAAGTCTGCCTCCTCCAAAGAACCAGAACACCCAGAATCAGGGATGGGTCTTGTTCCTGGCATGTTCCTGGCAGGCTGTGTGCAGAAGCCTGTTCACACATTGCTTCCCAGTTCTGTTCAGTGGCGTCCACTGGTAGCCTGACATCAACCACGGAGGGCGCACTACAGGCGAATCAGGGCTTCCCCTACTCCTGCCCCTGTCCCCTGCCCCACAGAAATCTACCAGCATGCCACCATTTGTGGCCCTCCACAGCAAACCCACAGATTGGCTAGCCATGAGAGGGTTGGAACTAAAGTGTGACAGAAAGGTGGGCAGCCAAGGCCCTCTTATTCATCTTGTTCACACCTGGGCTCGTTGCTGCCTGACCCTTCCACCCAACAAGGGGGAAGATGGGGCCACTGGCCTCATTTTCAGTTCTTTGAGGCACAACCCAAGGATCCAGAATGCCGTGTGGAGCCAAAGAAACTGAAAACTTCTGCAATAAAAGGTTCTCTGGCTTTGTTAAAAATTAAGGCTTGAGTTTGGAGGAAAGTTAGGTAGACTCCACACAGCACCTTTCTCATCTTTGCATGGTGACAAAGTAGCCAGACTTGAGTTTGGCCAACCAGGAAGCGAATTCTAGGTGGAGCCACTGATCACTGTATGACCCTGGGCAAGTCCTTTTACCTAAGTCTCCATTTCCTCACCTAGACTGTGGAGACAGTTTCTCTCTTGCAGGAGTGTTGTGAGTACTTAAGGCTCCTGACCTGATCCCTGACACTTAGCACATGCTCAGCAAATGCTGTTGATGATAATTCTGCACCCGTGCATCATGTGACAGGGCTGAAATGGGCCCTGGCCAGTAAGCCTTGCCAGGCCGGGCTGGGAAGTGTCAGGGGTGAGACGAGTACCTGGCTGGCTGTGAGTGGGCTGAGCAGGGCCCAGGCTGGTCTGGGGGGCTCCTCTGCGGGCCCGGCCATGGAGTCCAAGACTGGGGCTGTTCTTGGCCTTACTCTGCCCCCCAGGGAAGGGAACTGCAGGGCTGGCCACAGGTTCCATGCCCTTGGAATGTTTGGAGTGGCCAATGCCATTGGCTGAAATACTCCAAGACTTGGCTCTGATGTTGGTGACTGGCAACTGGGCCATCTGGCTGGGGCCTGTGGATAGAACCAAGGATAGGCTGAGAGGAGGGGAGCTGGCTATCTCCTGTCCAGCTGTCCCTAGGGCCTCGAGGGAACCCCATGTGTCTCTTGGTATCCTTAGGGGAATCCCCAGTCTTTTCTCCAACCCTCATTCTGGGTGACCTGAGACCCTCCCACCTATTAGTCTTTGGGGCCTTTCTCTGGATTCAGGGAAGCTGGACAACCCCCACCCAACACCCCCCACCACCCCTGGGTTAGCTGTACCTGAGTGGTTAGTGCTGGGACTGGGGCTAGGTCTGGGGGTGGGACTATGGCCAGGGTTAAAACTGGAGTCAAGACTAGAGTCTGAGGCAGGGCTGGAGGCGGGTGAAGAGCAGCAGACGACAGGGCAGGGGTGGCTGGAGCACAGGTCCAAGGTGCGGATAGCTGGACCTGGGGCCGAGCTGATCAGGCTGGTCGTAACTGAGGAAGACGGCGGCAGTGTGAGCTGGAGGAGGGCAGCAGAGCCCCACCCAGAACACAGCCACCTGCCCCTTCCCACACCTCCACACCTGCCTGATACACACCCAGCAGCAAAGAGGGCTGTGTGCCTGGCAACCCAGTGGTCACAGGGGACTGTCGGAGCTGAGTGGTTCCAAAACTCTGGCTGGACCTGCTGGGGAAGGGTGGGCTGAGCTCAGAGCGGCTGGAGGAGCCTGGGAGTCCCCGAGAAGCAGGAAGGCTGGGAGGAGGCGGAGAGGGAAGTTGGAAAGGAGGCAGGAAAGGGACAACAGGAGCCAGAGGAGGGAGGGCACTTGGTCAGACACGTACCATGGGCACATGGCCTCACTCCCCCCAGGGTGCTGGGGCCGGAGCAAGGCCAGGAGACAGGAAGTAGACACGGCAAAAGAGCTAGGGGGCAACACAGAGATCAAGAGGGAGATAGGTGCAGGGGAGGAGAGAAAGAAAAGACACAGTCAGAGGTAGACCCGGGGCTGAGGGTGACAGAGGGCAGACAGAGTCCAATGTCCTGCCCTGGCCCTCCTGCATCCCCTGTTCCAACCAGGGCCCCTCAGCTGGCCGACCTGGAAGAGCACTAAATTGGCCAGAGAGAAACCTTGGTGTCAGCAGGGACAGGGATCTGTTGCCCACCATCTAGGGAGACCCTCCCTTCCGCCCCAGCTACCCCTAGGCAGGCTCAGAGCCTAAGGTTGAACCCCTTTAGAGACAGCTTCCATGGATCCTCTGACCCTGGGCTTTCTGCCAAAGCCCCACCTGGCATGGGGACTTAACAGCAGCCTGACCTCCAGGGACATACCCATCAGTATCCACCAGGTCTTCCTCGGTGCGCAGGCTCAGCACATACAGTGTGGACATGGATACCACGCTGGGAGCCACGGAAAAGGGTTACTGTTAGAGCTGGAGGCACGTTAGCACCCTCTCTTTATGGTATTACCTATGATTCTTGGCCCCAGGGACCGGGCTCCCAAGTGATGCCCAAATGGATCTCCCCAACCCTGGAAAGAGGAGACAGAGGAAGCAGCCCACCTGCCCCCAAAGCCTCAGCCACTAGATCTTCCAAGCCACATCTCCCTCTCCTCTCCTCGGGCCTGGGCTAGTGGACAGCTGACCCCACTGAGCAGCTCTGTTCTCTCAGTCAGCCACCCCCACAGCCTGGGCAACAAGTCACCTGAAGGCCATGACCACCACCAGGGCAATGATAGTTCCCTGCAGGAAGCGCTGGCTGATGCAGGCCTGGTCTGGCACCACTGATGACGACTGAGAACCAGGAGGAAAAGGGGAAGCAGCAGAAGAGGGCAGACTTAGGAAGCCTGCAGCCTTACCCTATCCAGGGGTCACCCTTTCCCCCAGGGGCAGAGGGAGTGGAAGAAGAAACGGCTTGGGAGGCTACGGACTGGGGGGGAGAACCAGGAGTCAGTGAGGCTGCAGAGGGGAAGCCGGAAAGGGAGGCCACGGGATGGAAAAGTCCCTGCCCAACCTCTCTGCCACCCAGCACCCACCCTCACCTTGCTGGCCACCTTGGGGGGCCTCTTCTTGTGAGGAACGCTGCCTGCCCGGCTAAACTGGCTCCCTGCGTGGCTGCAGTAAGAGGGCCACAGTCAAAGGTGCCTCTTGGAAGGGGGCCTTGCCCTCCCTGCCCCATGCCATACCCCCACCTGAAGGCCCCCGAGCTGCCAGTGGACTTGAGGCTGTCGAGGCGCCGTAGTTTGGCCAGCTTGTGGCTCCAGCGCTCCAGCTCGTCGATGCGCGTCTCCAGGTTGTCCGTCAGCTTGCAGAGCTCCTTCACGGCCCCCACGTTCTCCATGAAGATGCGCTCCTGCCAGGGCCAAGGACCAACCTTGAGGGTACAGCGAGCCCCGGGGCCCAGGCTGCAGACCACTGAGGAGCAGAGCAGAGCCCCACTCTGCACTGCCACCTGGAAGCCCCGGAAGCCTCCTACCTGGTGTGGGCCTCCCTTCCCCTGTGCTGGCTCCACACTGCATCCCTGCTGCACCTTGCCTGAACGGCCCTCCTTGCTGTCGGAATCAGAGCTCTAGCCTTCACCACAGCCTGGGTCTGCCCTGATGACCAGGTATCTCAGACTTGGGCACTTTCCTACTCAGATGAGCCTCCTCAGTGCCCAGCCTCACGTCACGTTAAGTTAGAAATGTCACATAATAAAGAACACATTCAGGCCTCGATAGCCGTGACAGTGTCTCACTACCCATGTTTAACAAGGGAGGAGATGGCTCTCTGCAAGGTTCTCCTGTCCCAGACCTCATGGCCTCTCCTAGCCAAATCCACCCTCCACCTGGAGAGCTGGCACCCTTCCCTGTGAGGTAGGACGGGGCTCTGGAGGCAGCATGAGACTGGGCTGGGCCTGCCTTCTGCCCCTAGTTGGCCTGCCCCTCTCCAGAGCCCTTCAGGTCCCACCTTACTGACCTTGTTCACCACCAGGAAGTTCTCTATGGTTTTCCCGTTGGCAAAGACCACATCTCCCGTGTCCTTCACAGCCTCGGGCAGGATCTCCTTCACCTCCTGAGCGATGACACCTGGGGAGAGACAAGCCGAGAGGATGGGCTGACTGCCTGCAACTCTTCAACTTAGAGGGAGGTCGGGAGTGATTTTGGTTTTGTTTGGATTCTGAGGATTGAACCAGGGGTGCTTTACCACAGTGCTACACCCCCAGTCCTTTTTATTTTTTGAGATGGGGATCTAATTAAGTTGATGAGGTTGGCCTGGAACTTGCGAGCCTACTGCCTCATCTCCTGAGCCGCAGGGATTACACGCATGGGTCACAACGCCTGGCAAAAGGGGGATTTTGGAAAGAGGGACCAGAGATTTGGGTTCCAAGGAGCCCTGGGCAGTGTCTGCCTCCCACAAAGGTTCACAGGGTCGCAGCTCCAGGGCTCAAGACGTGGAGTTCCAGAGGTGGGGTGGGTTCCTGGAAGTAAGGACCTCAGGGGAAGGGGCAGGATTCCAAGAGGATGAAGGCAGGAATTTATTGGGGGGGGGGCCTGGGCCGAGATTTTCGGACTTTGTCAAGGGGTGAAGTTCCAGAACGCCAGGTGGCGCGATTTTCCAGGGATTAAGGGGCGGGGCTTCTAAGGACAAGCTTCCTGGGGCGGAGTTCCAGGGGTCAAGGAAGGATTTCTGAAAGCAGAATTTCCAGGGAAGAGGGACAGAAAGAGCCGAAGGCAGGGGCCGGGGCTGCTGAAGGCTGAGGGGTTTCCCAAAACCCAGTCTGTGCGGGGGGCGGGGTCCCTACCCGTCTCTGGCGTGGTGGACTCGATGCCCGCGCTGGCCGCGAACTCGGGCTTGTATCTGTAGTGCACCAGCCGCATGCGCGAGATCCTCTTCAGCTGCTCGGTGGTGTCCACCTGCCAGGGGACCCCGGGCTAAGACTGAATCCTCGGCCCCTGCGACTGGCCAGAGCAGGCCCGGGAGCTCAGAAGGACTGCAGCCCTGAGCGTGCAGTGTGGAGAAGCCACCCCGCTACCCGGCTCACAGATGGAGACCCAGGGACAGCCCCGCCCTTCCACCTGGTCCGGCTTCCTCCCTGGGAGCCCCGCCCCAAGGCCCCGCCCCCACCTCCTGCACGTGCTCCTTGGCCCGCAAGTCCGAGGGGTGCATGAGGGAGCCCATGACCTTGACGTTGCCATGCACAACCAGAGCCTCGTCAGGCCTGTCGGTGTTGATGCCCACACGACCATGGTGGAAGACAGTGTCGGGCACCTGCGCCCGCTGCCACAGCACATCACTGTCGCTCTCAAACTGACCTGGGTTGGAGGCCTAGGGCAAGATGGGGCTGAATCAGTCCTGGAGGATGGGGGACCTGCCTGACCATGGGAAAGGGGAAACACCACAGCAACCCCTCCTAGTCCAGCCAGGGCTCTCATCCCACCATGCCCAACTGTCCTGCTCATTGTGACAACTTTTAGTCCTATGTGGTATGCCAGAGGCTACCAGGCTCCATGCTTTACTATGAAGGAAATAACTTGCTGGGAAAGGGTGAGCTTCGTGCCCCGGGAACACAGCCAATACCCAGCAAAATCCGCACACAGTTCCTAACTCCTCAGTACCGGGCATCTCTTCTGGGTGCCCTTTCTTCCAGCTCTGGGGAGGACTCTTTACCCCTGAAGGGAGGTGGCCCTTACCCTCACGATGATGCGCTCTGAGATCTGGGCAGCCAGCGTGTAGTTCTGGTTCTGTGCATGAGCCTGAAGGGCCACCACCAGCATGAAGTACCTGGGACACACAGGAGGCTCAGAGGTGCTTAGGTTCCTGCCCATCTGTCCCTGGCCACCCCTTCTGGGCCTTGTGTGCAGTGTACATAGCTCCCGGGTCTCAACCCACCCTCAGAAAGTGGCATTAAAGGGGCTGGGGCTGGGGCTGAGCCGTAGAGCACTCGCTTAGCACCTGTGAGGCCCTGGGTTCAATCCTCAGCACCACATATAAATAAATAAAGTAAACATATTGTATCCAACTACAACTAAAAAAGTAAATTTTTAAAAAATGGCTTTAACAGTACATCACAAAGGAACCTGAGCCTCCACTAGGGGGCAGAAGTCCCCAGGACCCACAGAGGACTGCGTCTGAATCCAGAAGCCAGGCTTCTGCCCCTCTCATGATCTTAACTCAGTGAAGGGCTCTGAACCTCAAGCCCCTAATCTAAGAGATGGCGGGTCTGTGACCTCGGCCACTGGCAGGCCCCATGGGTGGTGTCTTCCTGACCCTGCTGCTCAGAGCGGAGCAGCTCCTGGGGCAGGGGCCCACCCTGCTCACCTCTGGTCAGGGTTGGGCTTGCCCTTCTTGCGCATGTTGTTGGCAGTGGTCTCACTGAAGTGCAGCCGTCCCACAGTCACCTTTGTGACCTGCTCAGGAGGCAGATTGACCCTGCAGAAGAGGAGCAGGGTGCTCAGGGGGGAGGGAGGGAGGCTGTCAAGAACCAGGCCACAGAGGGGTGGGTACACAGGCCAGGAGCCTTCCGGAGGTGGACACTCTACCTGGCCCCCTCAGTTCCCAAGCCAGCTCCAGGGGAGGCCCTTCCAGCACCCGCCACCCCCACCAGACACTCACGTGACAGGGTTGAAGGGCCGCTTGCTTCGGTCTGACTGAGACTGTTCAATGTTGATAGACTGGTTCAGGGCCTCCAACTGGGTAGGACAGAGAGCAGCAGAGGCTCAGAGTGGGTCTCCCCACCTGCTCCTGCCCTCCTCACCCTCTCAGCCTGGGCCTGGCCCAGCAAGAACTGGGGGTGAGGGAACGGAGCAGAGCTCAACCCTCAGCCTCCCTACCCCATAAACTCAGGGGCCGTCTATACAGCAGCACCTGCCACACCACACCACCCCACGGCAAGTGCGCATGCAGCCACCACGCTCCACCATGCCCCACTGCTGCATGATGGAGCACACCTGGTCAGCGTGCATCCTCCCCTACCCTCACAGCCCCTCCCACACACCCACACCTACATGCTCCCCACCTCCACCCCTCCATGAACACTGGCTGAGCCACTCATGACACTGAGGCAGACAGAGCTAGGGGACCTCCCAGGGCCTCTCAGGCTCCAGATCAACCACAGTCTGGCTGTCCCATAGGGCCCCTAAGGGCAGGCTTCCTGAGCACGCACCAGTGTGGAGTCTGCCAGGAGGAGGAGGATGGGTTGGGAGCTGCCTAGGGGAAGTCAGGGGCTGGGAATGGGCACCAGAGGGCAGGGAGGGAGGGAGGAAAGGGCTGGCTCCGAGGAGCTGGTGGGCTCACTGGGAAGCGGAGGCTGTGCTGGGAGGACACTGAGGTTTTGGAAGAGTGGGGCATGCCATTACCACCCGTGTCACAAGTCAGGGCCACTCGGACAAGGAGCAGGGATGACGGGGACAGGAGAGAGGCCAACGGAAGGAGGGGAGGAAGGGGGCCTAGGCGAAAGGGTGCTCCAGGGGTACAGCAGGGCCAGGTGCAAGATGAGGTCAGTGCGACAGGGCCCCCACGTCTATGGCTTGGGTGACCAGGACCCTGGACTCCATTCCCTGAAGGGGAACTCTGGGTGGAAGCAAGGTCCCAGGGACGCAGAGCTGAGGTGGCTCCAGAGGGGCCAGGGGGTGGATCTTGGTTGGGGACGCAGACTTGAGGTCACAGAGTGGAGAAGGACGAAAGAGCATGAGATGGTCACGGGCAGCCCCCGGGAGAAGAGGCGGAGGCCCCGGCTGCGGGGCGGGCTTGGCGGCGGAGTTCCTCCCCAGCGCTCTGGCCCTCCTGCCCGCCCTCCTGGCTGAACCCCAAACCTGCCTTCACTCCATGCAGCTTCAGGTAGAAGCAGTCGAGGGGCTTGAGGCCCTCGGGCGTCTTGACGTACTTGGGCTCCCCCAGCATGCCGATGTACACCGTCACCTGGAAGTGGTTCTTCTTCTGGCACACGAAGGCGTCGTCCCCCACCGAAAAGTTGAAGCCCTTGTCAGCGTCCACACGGTAGGTGAGCATAGGCCTGGGGGACAGGTGAAAGCCAGGCCTGGAATGTCACTCCCTCCCACCCACCCTGCTCCAAAGCAATTTCCTGTTCTCTACCTCAAGATCCTCAAACCACCAAGGGTGCTGTCCCCACTTCCCAGAAAAGAAAACCGAGTCCCCAGGAGGATTCCCGTGCCGACGTCAACTCCTCGGCAGATGATCTTTCCTCAACATGCCTGGTGCTGAGGGTGCAGGGCAAGTCTCTGAGGCCCACCAAACAGGAAGGGACTCCTGAGGAGGGGACCGATGGCCCTCACCACATGTGGCTGGTTCCCAGAAGGCTGCCTGAAGCCCCCTCCCTCACGGGAATGGGGTGAGAGGGGCTGCATCTGCAGAGCCTCAAGGCAAGTGACAGCTGGTTGCCATGGAAACCGTGGAACCAGGCGCCAGCTCTGCGGCAGGCAGGTCCAGCCCCTGCCCACCCATGTGTTCAAGTCCCCACACACCCTCCTTCTGATTCCTGGGTCTGCCAGAGCAGGGAGGGGCACTCCTGGACGCCCCCTCAGACTCAGCGGGAGTTGGCCCTTCTTTTGCTGGAGATAGTAGCAATCAGGTCCCTTTGGGGACCTCCAGATGGCAGTAAAGAAGGCAAGTGTTATCCTATGGCTTTGCCACCATCACCCAGGTCACAGGAGTGCCTGGTGCCTGCCTGGAGGAAGGTGGGTGGGGACAATGCTTCCAGACTCCTGGGAAGAGGCCTCTGGGCCTGGCCTAGGCCTCCAGGAAGGCCTGGGCTCCGGGCCTCTCCTCCTGGGGCTCCACCCACCTGCTCAACCCAGCAGAGTGTGGAGATAGTGCCTGGGCTACAGGGCACCTCGACTACCAGCTTCCTAACCTAGGGTCCTGGGACGACAGGTTGGCCCAACGTGGATCAAGTGCACCTGTGAGAGTTGAGGGTTTCCTCCCCCCTGCCAGCCTGCGCTCCCATAGACACCCCCTCTCACACCAGCTGACCTCATGGGACCCTTGAGCCGCCATAGCAGCTGGACCACTCCCTAGCCCCGGGGTCTGCTGGCTAAGAATCCCACACAGCCTGGGGCACCCAACCCCAAGAGACTGGTCAGCGCCCCAGCCACCCTGCCAGGCCTGGAAGTGTCCAAAGAGGGTTGAGGGGAATTGCCCTCTCACCTACACACAGCCTTTGCTGGGGGGGGGGCAAGGGGAGTGCTCCCCACAGGGCTCCTGGCCTAGAGCCCAGGAAGCTGAATCCACATGACCAGACAGACCCTGACCCGGTCCTGCCCCACCCCCTCCACAGGGAGGGGGCTCTGGAAGGGCCCTGCTTACACTCAGCTTCCGCTACCTTCCTGGAATGCAGGCGGAGGAGGAGTAGGTGGAGGGGGAGGCGGAGTCTGAAAACACCCACCGCCCACTTCCTCCAGACTGGCCGCCCTGGCACACACCACCTCCTGGGGAGGCCTGGGGCTGGCCTGGCTCTTTCTCGAGCCTGTTTACTCTTCTGTAAAATGGGATCATCCTGTACCCTGGGTGCTCCCGGGCCCTGATCCAGGACCTCGACAAGATCCAGGGCTGTCCTAAGAAGGGGTGGCCGGGCGACACTGATCACTCACAGCTCCTTGTAGTTGGCATCGTACAGTGTGGCCCACTTGTTCTGCTGATGGGGCTGCCACTTGATGGACTGGTAGTTGGGGTCCAGGTAGGAGCCACTGAGACTATCATTGTCCTGCAGGAGACCTGAAGGAAGGGGACACCCACGTGGGCCCTGGTCTCCAGGCCCCACTCCCAACTCCAAGGGAGGGCCAGCCACGTACCTGGTGAGGGTGCACCTGGAGGGTGCCACGGCGGTGTCTGGACCCGGGCAATGCTGAGCGGCAAGGAGCCGGGGCCTGGGGAGAGTGGGCCCTGGGGAGGCCAGGGTGGGGAAGGGGCTCGCACAGGGTGTGGGGGCAGCGCTGTCACGGTCCCAGGCTCCTGTTTGATCATCCCATTCAGCATCTGGGCATTGAGGGTGTTGGGGGGCGAATCTGAGTGCTTCCTCTTCTTGGAGGGGTGTGTGGGGAGCCTGGGGAGGCAAAGGTGTGCGCCGTGGGGGCTGGCTCTCTCTGAGCCCCCTGCCTTTGTGCAGTGCCCACTCCTCTCCCCTCTCCCTGCTGTCTTAACAGGCTGGGCACAGCCCAGAGGACACTCCCTCCGGGAAGCCCTGGGACGTGGCCTCCTCAGCACTCCCACCACTGGTCAGCGCTGCCATTCTCTGTCCCTCTTCCCCACGGGCTAGACCGTGGCATCCAGGAGAACAGGAGCTACACCTGCCTGGTCTGTGTGTCTCCAGCAGGCTCAGTAAAGGCCTGGCACACATCAGGTGACAGCTTTCTTACAGCATCACTCCTTTCAGTGGGGGCTCTGCGAGCAGCCTCCAGAGTCAGACCACACAGGGCCTGGACCACAAGGCCAGGTGGGGAGTGTCCCGAGGCAGGGGACAGGCGCAGGTTTGGGTGACCTGCACAGCACTCCTTTCCCCATCTGGTTAGAATTTTTTTTTTCTTGGTAGGAACTGAACCCAGGGGTGCTTAACCACTGAGCCACATCCCCAGCCCTTATTTTATTTAATTGGGAGACAAGGTCTCACTTAAGGGCTTAGGGCCTTGCTAAATTGCTGAGGCTGGCCCTTGAACTTGCAATCTCCTGCCTTAGCCTTCCAAGCCGCTGGGATCACAGGTGCCACCACGCCCAGCTACAAAATGTTTTCAAGAAGACTCTTTCCTTGGACTTTATAAATCTTTGATGAAATTTCAATGCGCAACACAGACATAAAGTCACGGAAGATAAAAACAGATAAAAAAGACGAGTGCCCAGGTTGGAGTCACAGCAGGGTGCCTAGGTCCAGGCCAGGAACCTCCTTAGGTTGAGGAGGACTCCATGATCGGCTGGAAACCACCTGTGCCTGGGTAAGAGTCTCGCCACAGGCTCAATTCCTGGCTCTGCCCTCTCCTGGTGGCATGATCTGGAGGAGCCACTTTCCCTTCTCAGAGCCTCCGTTTCATCAGCGGAAAAGGTAGTCCTGAGCAAGTAGCCGTGGCTGTAGATCCCCCAGGGCATTACTGGGCACCTAGGTATAAATAGGGTGCCCCCCCATCTTCCCTGCAGAGCCCCTACCCCCCACAGTGTGTCTCCTCCCCCTCCCCCTCTGGCCGCCTGCACCTGCTCTGCCCCTCGCTCTCCACGGGGGCTCCCAGCCTTACTCAGCTCCGTGCTGCTGCAGCAGGTGCTGCAGCATCTGGGACTGCTGGGTGTGGTGGAGATCCGCAGGCACCAGACCCGGCCCCATGGCAGCATACGGCGGGATTGGGGGTTCGGCCTTCATGTACAGGTCCCGCTGCAGGACAGGGTAGTGAGGTGGGGGCGGCGGGGGCGGCGGGGGGCCTGGCAGGTGGGCTGGAGGTTGGGGTGGGTGCTCCAGGCGGGAGGGCACCCCCACGTGGCACAGCGTCTCAGGGGTTATTGTGCGTAGGAGATGGGGGTCTGTGGGAGAGATGGGAGTTGGGCATCAGAGACCACCCTCTGGTTCCAGACACCAGATCTCCCTAGGAGGGTCTCCAGCTTCCACCCCCTCCTGAGCCAAGTCCCCAAGCCCAGGGGCCGGGGAGTTAGCTGGTCACTAGAGCCTGGGCAGGGAAGCAAGACCCCGTGCAGGAGGCCAGTGGCCTTTGCCCTGTCCTTGCCGGTTCTTTTAAGATGGGGCAGGCCCAGCTCCCCAAGAAGATCCCTAATCTCAAGGTTCCTCCAGGTCCCCAGCTCCTCTCAGGCCTGACCCTCCTTTGGCCTCAGGAAGGAGAGTCTGGAGACCCCCAGCCCTCCTGGGCCGCAGGCGGGCCCTCCTCCCTGCAGCAGCCCCTCTCCTGGGCTCCAGGGGCCAGCCCCCCACTGGCCGGAGGGGGAGGCCGGCTCCCATTGTTCCCCGGGAGGCATTCCAGGGATGTTTTGGGTAAGATAAACAGAACTCTTGACCCCTCTTCAGGCTGTGGGGAGCCAGCTGCCCGTGGTCATTCTGTTCTTGACCACCTGGGGGCCACTGCACCCCTGAGCACCCCCGGAAGGGGAGGTGGGCCCAGCGGTGGTAGGCCTCTGCTCAGACTGCACCTGGGCCTTCCCAGCCGTCCACTTACCGCCGAAGGGCGCGTCCATGATGGCGCAGGCGGCCAGGCGGTGGCATCTCCGGCAGGGGCACTTGCTCGGAGGCAGGGCCGGGCTCCCCACCCGCCCATGGGGAACAATAGCCAGCGCCGGGCAGTATTTGACCAGCGATAATCTCGGCCCGTTGGGCAGCCGCTGGCCCCCTCCCGCCCTGGCTCCCTCCCTCTCCTCCGATAAGGCTGCCCCAACCAGCCCCAACCACTGGTGCACAGCAGCGGGGAGGCGGTGCCCGCCACTCACCGTTCACCTGCTGCGGGGAGTAGGCCTCGGAGCCCGAGTCTGGGGGCGAGTCCGGCAGGGTGCTGCAAGGACCAGAGGAGGGGGCTGTTGGGCCAGTGGCCGGGTCCCCAGCCCTCAGGCCGGGCAGCCCCTCTGTGAATTGGGGTCCACAGACACCCCCCCCCGAGGCTGGAGTCATGAGGTCCCCTCACCCTGTGCTCTCTCTGCGCCACCTACCTTGTGTGCCTGGCAGGGTCAGGTGATGAACTGTCTGTGGGGGCCTTGGGGTCTTGCCTAGGATCTAGGGTCCCCTCAGACCTAATGGCCCCTGTGGACTGGTAACCAGGTCCCTGATGACGACACAGGCACTCAGGGACCCCCCCTCCCTAGGGGGCTAGGCCTGCTCCCCTCTCCCTGTACCCACCAGAGCCGTTCAGCTTCCCAGAGGCACTGGGCCCGGGTGCCGGGCCTCAGTAGGTTCAGCGGGTCACTGGGGGCTGCCCTGCCAGGCAGGTGTGGGCTGGGCACGGGGCCAATTCTGTTGGGCCTGGCTTTTTGTTTCCTTGCAAGTTTTATTTTATCAGTGGTTCAGCAAAAAGAACAAACTCAAGCCCCAGAGGTCGACACGTCCTGTGTGAGCCCTGTGCTTGCCCAGCAAGAGGAGGGCTGTGGCCTCCGAGCAAGGAGGCTATTTGGCCATCCCTGGTCCCCTTATCCAGAGACTCCCCTCCATGGTACCCAAGGAACTGCCAGAAGGGACTCGGAGCCATCATGGACACAGCCTGCGCTCACCCTGGAGTCCCAGGTCACCCCTGGACCAGCCACCTGTCCCTTCGGTCCTTATTTACAGATCTATGAAAACCACCCAAGAATGCAGACCCTAAAACAAGGCTGTGTGAGGTGACACCAAAAAGCAGGTGGGGACAGGCACCATACTCTCCCCACAGCCTCGGGGCCCGTGGGCGGATCCTGGTTTGTCCAGCTCCAAGTCCACCTGCCACCTCTCTCTGCACTTCCTGACAAGGGCCTTGAGTTAGGGTCTTTCCCACCATCCAGTCCCTGCCACCAAACGTCCTGGGCCCACTGCACTTTTCATTCTTTCTTCTTAAATTTATAAATTTATCTCGCTTCTCCTTATGCCTGTATTTGGTGGTTGATTGATTGGTTGATCGATTGATTTCTTTCCACCACTGGTCGCTGAACCAGGTGTCGGAACCCAGGGCCTGCCTGTGCAGGGAGACTGCCCTACCCCTGAGCCACACCTTCAGCTCTGTGAGGTATTAGTACCTCTCTCCCCATCTCAGCAGCAAACCCACCGAGGCCTGGGTCCCTGTGGCTCTGGACAAGCCCTCTTCCCTCTCAAAGCCATCAGAATCCTCTAGGAAGAGCTCGTCAGGCCCGCCTCAAGGTCCCCCCAGAGCAGGGTCCCCACGCAGACACTGGGGAGCAGTCAGCAGGCACTAGCTAAATCTTGCCTTCAGGTGTCTGTGGCTCAGGAACAGTGGCATGGCCTCAAACCGTCAGCCTGCCATCTGCTGCAAAGGTTCAGCCCTGGCACCCCAGCCTGGCCACTATCAGCCCGAGACTTGGGAAATCCTGCCGACAGTGTCCCAGGGCCACTCTCCCCCCTCTGGCCCTCAGGAAGAAGCCTCTGGGGCTCCCTTAACAGAGAAGGAGGCTGTAGATCACCAGGGCAGGAGGCCGGCCCAGGAGCCACAGCCAGGCTACCTGGCACAGTGTGGTTCCTGCCCCGCACTCCAGCCCTCTCCCACACAGACACAGGGTCCCTGCCCATGCCCAGGCTGGGCAATCAGAACTTCTCCCAGCTCGTCTGCAGAGCACGGCACACCCCTGCTCTCTGCCTCTCCCCACGAGCACGTGGGGTCAGGGGTCGCCCTGGAGTCTGGCTAGGCTGGTGGCCACCTGGATCCTTGGCTGAAGCCAGGCCAAGGCTCAGCCAGGGTCAGCCCACTGGTGTGGACTCCTCAGAGAGATGCGGGGAGCGGGGTTGGGTCCGGGAGAGTGAGGCTGTGTTGGGATGAGATGTGGCTCCAGGGACCACAGATGAGCCCCAGCCAATTCCCAGGGCCACAGAAAATGTCCACTGCACGCACCTGGGCCTGGACAGGGCTGTGGAGGTGTTTGGGTACCTGGGTTTGTGCCTGTGTGTGCTGGGGTTCCCAGGGATGGAAACAGAGGCGGCCTCCAGCCCCGCCCCTCCTGTCCACAGTGCTCAGAGTTGTTTCTAGCACCTCATCAGCCCTCCTCACAGCCTGGCTCAGACCCCGCCGGCTGCCCACTGGTCCACTGTGGGGCGACCCGTGGCCTGGGCCCTGCCTGCTGCCAGCACCTTCAGGCCTGAGGCCACCGGGCGCAGGTTTCCCACTCCATCCGCTCCCTGCCCTCACTCACCCTGGGGCATAGGGAGCCTTGGGCTCTGCCTTGATGGGGGGCCCCGAGCCCCCCAGGAAAGGCTTCGGGGCGGCGCCCATGCCGTTGTTGTTGTTGCAGTTGAGTGGGGCACTGTAGCTCGGGGGCGGGAGGGGACCGTGGCGCACCGGGGAGGGTCCACCCCCAGGGGAGCTCAG